CAGGACCCTGGGATCATGACCTGAGCTGAAGGCAGACGCTTAACGACTGAGCCACCCAGGCGCCCCTTCCCAACTCTTTCTTTGAGGCCAGCATGACTTTGATCCCAAAACCAGACAAAGACCTCACCAAAAAGAATTACAGACCAATATCCCTGATGAACATGGATGCAAAAATACTCACCAAGATACTTGCCAATAGGATCCAACAGTACATTAAAAGAACTATTCATCATGACCAAGTGGGATTTATTCCTGGGCTGCAAGGGTGGTTCAACATCCACAAATCAATCAATGTGATACACTACATAAATAAAAGAAAGGAAAAGAACCATATGATCCTCTCAATAGATGCAAAAAAAGCATCTGACAAAGTACAACATCCTTTCTTTATTAAAACTCTGCACAGTGTAGGGATAAAGGGAACATACCTCAATATCATAAAAGCCATCTATGAAAAGCCCACAGTGAATATCATTCTCAATGGGGAAAAAATGAGAGCTTTTCCCCTAAGGTCCGGAACGCAACAGGGATGTCCACTATCACCACTGCTGTTCAACATAGAACTAGAAGTCCTGGCCTCAGCAAACAGACAATGAAAAGAAATAAAGGGCATCCAAACTGGTAAAGAAGAAGTCAACTCTCTCTCTTCACAGATGTGGAAAACCCAAAAGACTCCACCCAAAATGGCTAGAACTCATACAGGAATTCAGCAAAGTGGAAGGATATAAAATCAATGCACAAAATTGATTGCATTTCTATATATTAACAATGAGACAGAAGAAAGAGAAATTAAGAAGTTGATTCCATTTACAATTGCACCCAAAACCATAAGATACCTAAGAATAAACCTAACCAAAGAGGCAAAGGATATGCATTAAGAAAACTATAGAGGGACACTGGGTGACTCAGTTGATTAAGCATCTGCCTTGGACTGAGGTCATGATCCCAGGGTCCTGGGATCGAGTCCCACATCGGGCTCTTTGCTCAGTGAGGAGCCTGCTTCTCCACCTGCCTGCCACTCCCCTTGCTTGTGCTCTCTCTCTCTCTGACAAATAAAAAATTAAATCTTTAAAGAAAGAAAGAAGGGAAACTATAGAACACTCATGAAAGAAATTGAGGAAGACACAAAGAACTGGAAAAACATTCCATGCTAACAGATTGGAAGAGAAATTATTGTTAAAATGTCTATGCTACTTAGAGCAATCTATACATTCAAAGCAATGCCTATCAAAATACCATCAACATTTTCCACAGAACTGGAACAACAATCCTAAAATTTGTATGGAACCAGAAAAGACCCTGAATAGCAAAAGGAATGTTGAAAAAGAAAACCAAATCTGGTAGCATCACAATTCTAGACTTCAACCTCTATTACAAAGCTGTCATCATCAAGACAGTATGATACTGGCACAAAAATAGACACACAGATTAATGGAACAGAACAGAGAAGCCGGAAATGGACCCTCAACTCCATGGTCAACTAATCTTCCACAAAGGAGGAAAAAATATCCAATGGAAAAAAGACAATCTCTTCAACAAATGGTGTTGGGAAAATTGGACAGCCACATGCAGAAGAATGAAACTGGACCATTTCCTTACACTACACACAAAGACTCAAAATGGATGAAAGACTTAAATGTGAGATAGGAATCCATCAAAATCCCAGAGGAGAACACAGGCAGCAATGCTTGTGTTCCCTCTCTCGCTGTGTCTCTCTCTCTCTGTCAAAATAAGTAAATAAAATCTTTTAAAAAAAGGTATTTAGTTTCAACTAACTCAGAGTAGAGTTTCCATTCAGTGGTGTTTCTAGGAGTAGAAAACAGAACATGAAAAGGATTCCAGGGGATGGGGTGCATGTGTGTGCACGTGCACACAAGTGCTCACATGTGCACGGACCCCCACACGCACGTGCATACAGTGTCTGCCACACTCTCCAAGCCTCCATATCCTCATCTATAAAATATGGACACTGTTAGTACTTACCACAGGGTTGTGAGGAGGATTCAGTTAGAATACCTGTAGAGGGCTTAGCACAATGCCTGGTCATATGAAATGTTGCTTTTGTTTTCAATAGGAACATTTTTCTTTCAATACTAGATGATTAAACACTACAATAACTCTATGGAGAAATTGAAGAAGAATCTAGAAATTCCTAATGACCCTCCATT